AATAAGTGGGTTTTGTGGCTTATGTTTCCAATATCCTACCGATTGCAGATAGAGAGGGGAAGGGGAGTGGGAAGGGTGCAGGCCATTACATTTTATGGGCTCAGTTACAGATTGCAATTGCACGGTGCTTGTTGGCTATTGCCTTGCAGAGCTTTCCAAAAAGGAAGCCTGTCACACATTTCTTCAGTAGGGGAATGCAAAAGGGAGTACAGTTCTGTGCCAGTCTTTCAGAGAAACTGAGGCAGCACTGACATACATGACTTTCACAGGTGACGCTTCGAGTTTTCAACTAAAGGTAAAATACTTGTATTTTCACCCATTTTCCTCATAGACTTTGTTCCCTAATGTGGCAAACAGGTAACATGAGCATGAAAACATGTCATTGGTGATGCTGTTCAAACCTGGAGGTCACACCTGGCTGTCGCCAGCCATGCCCACAGTCACAGCCATGCCAATACCAAGGCACTGGCCTCTGAAACCACTCGAGAGTTGTGCTGCCGGATCCTGGCTCGCCTTGAAACAAAATGAACTTTCTAGCCCTTCTGGTAGTGAAGATAACCTTGAAAATGTGAAGAGAGTGTAATCTGATGCCTCAGTAAGACTGCAAGGAGCTTGAAACAAAGACAGAGAGATGTGAACTGCCCCAGCCATCTCTCTCTGGGCCCCATGGACTCAGCATTTCTGTGGTCGTGGAGTCTGGCATTTTTCCAAGATTCCACAGAATCTCGCATGTTTGCTGCAAAATTCATTATTTTGCTGCAGCCAGGTGCTGGATGTTTTTTGGTTTGGGTTTTTATTTCCCCCCTCCCCCTACCTTGCTGAAACCAACTACTCACTCTGCGTCTTTCCATTAGCAGAGGTATGAGGTGAATTTTTGGTGCAAGTGCTGCTCTCTGGTACATGGCATGGGGTACGCAGGAGAGAAGTGTCCAGTGAGCAGCAGGGAGGAGAAAGAAGTTGGAAATATGCAGCCAGGCTGCCCAGAGCTGAGGTTTGGGGGCTGCAGGGGAAATCAGAGAAGATTAACTGCTAGAGTGGACCAAGAGTACCTCCTTTTTTGGCTCATTGGGTGCACACCGTTTGGAACTAACTTGACTGCTGAGGGCCTCAGAGTCTTCGCTCTGTTTTCCAGATGGGCAAACTCCACCATCAAAAATAATCAATGCTGAAAATACTTCTTGGTGTAAAATTTTGAAAAGCGAATTTTCACTTATGAGCCTGGACAGGGTAGGAAGGAAAATTATTTTATGCTGTATAATAACCTAATATCGCTACCAGAGAGAGTTAGGGAAAAAACACCTTCCAAATTGCTTAAAACTGCCAATATTTACTTGTGAAAAATTTCTTGTGCTGAGTTTTGCAAATAAATAAGAACAATGCATTTTTTAAAAAAATCAATAGGCAAATCAAATGAAATAAAATACCCACTGGCCTCTACAATGCCCTTTTTCTGAGTTTTTTAAAGTCATTCATCAGGGTACCTCTAAACCACATGTATGTCTATATCAAGTACATCATGATGAATCTTCTGATTATCAGTGTTTTTCATGTTTCTAGGGCTTCTAGAGGGTTTCTGGGGCAACGGATTCATGCCAATGCCAAGTTTGGAACCGGTAGATTTAGCCTACCACACATGTAAGCCATGATAAATTTACATCAATTTTTTTAAATCAATTTGTGTAAGATGTACTGTTATCCATTCTCAATTTCCTTATAATCAGAATTTCTCTAACATCCAAAATGATATTTTCATGTCAAAAATAATTAAAACCAGAGGTGGTTTTTTTCTTCTCAGGTATGTATGAGCAGTGAGACTCATTGCAAATGACTGTCAGGCAGAAAAGCCCCCTCAGGGTGGTGAAGAACAGGACTTACAAACTCAAATGGAGATTGGAGCATTAGTAATCAAACCTGGCATGAGATTCAACCCTATGCATAGCACTTTAAAGTGTAAGTATGTTGGCTGTGTATTAGACTTCTGGATCTCAGTAGCAAGCCAAATAATACTACTTTATTGATGGCTGCTCCAAAGTTGACCAAGAAGTACATCCACAGAAAGTTCAGTGTGGCGAGCAGCATGGCATTTGGACAGTCTTTAAGAAGAAACAGCCCAGTCATTGAGGCAGCCCAGTTGTATGAATTTGTAACATCTTGGTTATCATTGATATGCCTGCTTCACTGAAAAACTGAAATCAAAAATTATTAATAGAGAAATAAAAACAAAAAAACCCCAGACCGTTTGTTTTAGCTTGATAAAAAAGGAGTGAACCATCTTTAGCAGGTGCTTATAACACTAACAAACGCACTTCAAAGTCTTTTTTGGACTTGGAAAGAAGCAGAAGATCAGTGAAATTCTCAGGCAGGATACAACACTGATATCATCTGTCTAGCCAGCTTCAGATTTGGGTTCTGCTTCTTTCTCAGGCACCTAGTAAAAGAGAGGCAGGGGCAGGTGTAGTGTTCAAGTTTGCAAATGCAAGTTTCAAAGTCAGCTCCTAAAGAATGTGAACCAAGCACAACAGTACCATTAGAACAATTTCTCCAGATGATGAAAGTGTTGCTTAGAGACTAAAATCCACTCTCAGCTCCACCAGTGTAACAGAGAGCAGAAGTGAGTTTACTGGGCTTATTATGGTATCCTCTGTACATGTTAACACTGGCAGGCTGGATTCCTGTGTGCAACATCACCCTCTTCCTCAACAGAGAAATCTTGGCCAAAGACAGTGGCGAGTACTTACTCATCTACTCTCTCTCACTCTTGTCTGAAAAAATTTTTTTCATTTTCCTTTCCTTTCACCTCCCAGTACTTTCTCCATTGTTCATCTAGCTCTGTCTTTCAAAAACATTATACACTTTCATTTCTCAGTTGTTGAATAAAGCTCCTCCCTCCTCCACATGTACCTGAAATTGCTTTCACTGCATAGTTTGCATAGGCCACTTTCAAGATTAAATTACCTTTCAACTGGCACTTGTAGGGACATTTTCCTCTTTTCCTATGGACTAGCACCAGGTTTTAGAAGACACTGTATGTGTTTGGGATCTTAAATCCCAAACAGGTTTTGGGTTCTGGGTTTTAATGACAGAGTGCTAATCTATCCCTCACCCTCTCTTTCTTTCTTTCTTGTATGCACACATAGAGAGCAAAATAAACGAAAACAGAATCATCTTTATTTTCGCTGAGACTATTTTGCCTTCTGACTACTGCTTTTAGGAAATCTCCCTGTTGGTCAACTGGCTGCTGCAAATGCAGCAGCCTCTCCAGTTATGAATGAGTTCAAGTGAGACTTAATTGAAGGATTAGATTCCAGGGTTTAATACCGAATTTTAAACCTATCCAATGACAGTGCAGTCAGAAGACACCCTGCCCTGTGCCATGTACCTTTGAGCACTTCAGACCTCATCGTTTACAGAAGCCTGAGTTCTTGTAGATGCAGCAGGTCTATTCAGCAGTTACTGGTTTAGATTTTGATAATCCTGATAGCATCCATGACTACCACTCACGTGGGTAATTTGAAGGGAAGCTCTGAGCAGATGAAGTGTTTTACAGGCTCCCTGGACTACGTGGTGAAAAGAAGGAATGGAATGAATAACCCCAACAGGAGTGCTGGTAGTGCCAAACCATGAACAAATATTTCCCTTAATACTCCTGTTAAGTGACAGTTACATTTGTCATTACATACAGCTCCAGCATACAATTACCCAGCCCAAACCCTCCACAGCATGTGAAGCCCAGACTATGCTGGGCATACAGAGTAGAAGTATTGCAGTGGAAGTCACAGAAAATCCTGACAGCATCAAGGAAAGGCTTTTCATGCATGGAAGGAAGCCTGATCCTAAAGAGAACACAGAGCTTGGGTGGTGCTGAAAGTTCTGGCACTGCAACTGCAAACAGGACCATCCCTGTTTAGCACTAGTCAGTAACCATGGCCACCCCTTTCTCTAGGAGTTAACTGGTCCTGTCCACACATTGCTGTAGCAGTGATGGATAAATACCCAAATGTACACATAGAGACAAGACTGTGGAACAAATGAACACTGGAAACTAACCAAAGACATATTGCTTTAGACAGTAAAAACAACACTAGACGTCAAGTGTAACAAAACCATCCAACACAATAAGCTTATTATTAGGTGCTTATATTTTTCTACTCTGTTGCTACATGAAAAGCTAACACAAGCATCAGGGAAACTGAATATAGAGTCATAGAATACAAGGGGAAGAGTGAGAGAGAATGCAGAGTACTGTCAAATGTAAAAAATAAACAGATCAGAAAAAATGCAGGAAATAAATCTAATCAAATTTACTAAATAGTACTTTTGGGACTTATCTTACAACTGGTAAAAATAAGGCAATTTCAAGGTGTGCTTTTTTTGTTAAACAACCCAGAATAAAAACATTTATGTAGCATTTTGATGTTCACTGAGTGCCAAGAATGATATCACAAACTAAACTAACAAATCCAAAACACACACTAATCATTTGACCATGCATGAAACATTATTGTGTGTGATAGTTTGCAAAATTTCTTACTATTATGACTTTATAAACAGGCATTTAAAAGAAACAACAATGCTGTTATACTTTTTTTGCCACTGTTCTTAAGACTTTGCAGTTAGGAGTTGCACTGGCTTCTCCCAGAAGCAGTATTTGCATATATTCACACAAAGAGAAGTAACTTCAAATAATGGGATGAAAACTCTCTAACAGATCAAAATGTCAACAACATAAATGCAGCAAGCCAAATATTTCTTTGAGAAAGTAACAACCATCATTTTGTAATATGACTCACTGAAGACAAATATTTTTAAAGGTATATCTAATTTTCTGTAGCTTTAGCATAAGCCTCCATCTCTCAATGAATTCATCATTCACTGCTTCTTCCAATCACTGAAAGTGCATGTACCTCTCTAAGACTCTCATCCACTTGGTTGCCACAAAAATAATTACCACTTTAAAAGCTGTAACTTTTTTTCTCAGGACTGACAAGTTGTTTACTTACAGACTTCCCATTTATTCCCTCAGGGTCTTCCATTGAAGATTTCTCCTTCCAAATTATATACGGGCTATTAGTTACAGTGAGGTTCAGACAGTCCTAGTACACACACACCTGTGGAAAAGACAGTACCACATCGACGGATTAATTTGTTGGCATGAAACTAGAAGGTGATCTTCACTTCTGCAACTTTTCATTAACTAACAAGTATTCACAAGTTAGGAGCAGTTGTCTTTGAAGAACTGAATCAATCTTGAAAATAAATACATAGCTGAGCTGTTTACCACAAATCCACGCAAGCCAAAAGCAGGCAGCAAGAGCTCTGTTGTGCTTGCTGTCGGCAGACAAATGAAAGGCAGCCAGGAACTCTTTTACCGACACTATTTCTGTGCCAACAACACATCTCTTCTTCTTTTGATTTTTTTCTTTTAGGAAGCTCAGCCTCCCCTGATATCTATCAATGTCAATTGTACTTTAATGCTAAGAGGAAATAATAACAAAGAAACATGATTGTAGATTGAGCCAGGATAAAAAAGAAAATCCACAAAGTTTTCAAAATGTTGCCCTCAAGCTAAGGATATTTTTATACTAAATCTCTTCAAGTTTACATTAGGTCGCAGTTCTAGGCCCTATAAATTATAAATATGGGATACTTTGTGTTCTCTCACCTTTGGAAATGGTGTTCTTTGATGTTAAAAATAACAGTGAAGTGCTGAGATGAAATAATGAAGGCTTACTCCCCAAACAGATATAAATCCAAAATATGGTTTCCTTTCATGAGCAATTTTCTTTAGAATAAAATGCCATGAACTTCTTAAAATTCAGAACTATTCACTGAAGTAATTAAAACAAGCCCAGCTAAAATCCTCATTAGAAAAATTGGCTTTTTTTTAATAACAGGGGCAAATGCTGTCTGCTAAAGTATAATAAAAATGAAAATCTGGGGGGTTTAAGTGTGTGTATGTATATTTAATATATACCTTATATACAGTGAAATGTGAAAAGTACTTTGGTTTTCTATGACAGGTGAAGATCCGATGGTCTGAAGATATTCAGTTTGTCCTAAAACCACTCTGCATATGAAATACTTATAATTTAGGATCAGGATCCAAAACCTTATTCTGCATATTTCTACCTGAATAAGACTCTCACAAGAAAATAAAAAAGTCTCTTCGAGCCCAGTTGTTTGGACAGTATTTATTGCACACATTTGGCTACTTCTATAAAATCTAAGCATTAAGAAAGTGTTAACAGGTTCACTCTGCACCCTAAGGAAGATGCTAATATGAACCATGCTTCTGCAATGCATCCACTCCCTTCTTTCTGGTTTACAATTGAGAGATCAAATCCAGTCCTGCTCCTGCTGAGAACAATGGCCAATCTGCAATATTTCTACGAAATCTGGTGCCCGTATTTGTTCTGACACCAGATTATAGGTTAGAAAATTACTCAAGGCTTTAAAAGCTGACAATTAAAGTTAGGGAGGGGAAGGACAAGAAGTTCTCATAATTAAAAAAAAAAATAATAGCAAAGGGCAGAAGAAAACAACTCTCTAACAATGCCCTGCTCCTAAGCAATGACTGACATCTGTTTCAAAAACTCTTTTATTGCAAAATTCAATAAATGGAAAAACCCCACAAACTGAAAGTCTGCAACTTCAGCGAAGGAATAAAACGGAGCCTTTTCTGATGGAAAAATATTCATAAGTCAATTGATGTAATGCTGGTATGTGGATGACCTGACAGATTTTCAGATCAGCAGTGCTCTCTTTACTTTATGGAAAGAAAACTTTACCAAGACTGGTAATTTTCTATTAAAGCCCAGATGGAAAAAGCATATACGTTTTATAGTACATTGTAGTTCAACCATAATTAGGCAACCCTACTTGCAGAAGCTGCTGCAGCAAACATTTTCTCTCTCTGGGAGAAATTCCTACAACACACCAGCATCAAAAGAGCCCACTCTTGTATTTTCTGCTCTGACATATGCTGCCCTGAAAGTCACTGCAAAAGAGATTTACAAAAAGCTCCTATATATACCCCCACACTCCTTGAGGCAAAGACTTTTCTTTCTCAGCAGACATCAGAGACCTCTGGCAGCATAATCAAGCAAGCAGTAACATTAGGGCTTAGACAGTAATACAGAACAGCTGATTTACAATGAAATTAAGTAATTTTAATTTTGAAAAATGCAACTTTTGAACAAGAGTAACCTAAGTTATCCTCATTCTAATTGTCATCTTAGGTTATTCTTAATTTTAGTAAAGCTTTACAAAAACTAATTAAATTCCCTTGACTTGTTAATCTATCAAAAATTACATATAAATTACATAAAGTATCTATTACAGAGAAGTTGTTATATTCAAAATACGCCACCAAATATGAGTGGGACAAAAACTCAAATTACTGAAAAAGACAAGATCCAAATTGAAGGGAAGTCATGAAAGTACATATCCCATTTTATTTTTCTCTATTACTCTGGAAGTCATTTGCTTGGTTAAATATTATTACTGTTAAATACGCGATGGTAGCAGTTAAGAGTCCCACCAGCTAAAGCAGTACTATTGTACCAGGCATGACAACCAGCAGCCCTCTTTTCCAAACAGCTATTACAATTTTAAAGGGAATAAAAACCCACAAAGAAGTACAGAAAATGGTTTACGGGGGATTTTTATTCCCTTCTTTCTGAAATGTTAGCCAACGCTGTGCAATTTTCCCCACACACATGGATCTGAACATGTGCCTCTGCCACCAGGCACGGGGCGGCTGCCAGTCACTCCCAGCCATGCTGCAGAGGTGGCCAGGAGCTTCAATAAGCTCCTTGTCCTGGAAGGGCTGTCCCCATCCGAGCACCCACCCGAAAACCTGACAAAAGCGAGCGGTCGATCACCCGGGAAGCAGATGTTAAACACAGTCAGGAATACTGAGAAATAATCTCTTAGGGCTGGAAGGTACCAATGGAGGGTGATCTCTAGTACAGAGAGCACCAAACTGAAGGGTGACCAAAAAGTAACTAGCTATGTCTGACCCCTGGCACCTAGACACCTACATTGAAGGACCAGGAACCTAGTTTCTTGTGCTTGCTGAGCTGTTCTCCATAAAAACTGCATTTCCCAAGCAAGGTCCACTCTGTCACTAATATCCACATCTTGGAGCTGTCCCAGAGCTGCTGTAACCCACCTTCAGCTGCAGTGAGCCACTGACAAAACTCACAGTGATCAGAAACAGCACAAACACAATATCTTGGGCTACCTTACTCTTTCCATCACCAAGGAGAAGGAATTAAACTTTTTTCCTGTTCCTGGGCCACCAGTAAAATCACTTCTCTCTTACAACTTCCCAGCCGATTCATTGCAGTCTCCAAGATAAAGTCGTTTTTAGTGTCATCAGTGGATACTGCTTTGCTTTTATTTTTTCATGCTTTCTCAGAAACTAGTAGAATTTGCCAGTAACATCTAGACAAAATTGAACCTCTCCAAAGCATATTCATTTGTTAGAAGAAAAAAAAAACAACTCAAACCAAAACATAAAACCCACATGTACTTTATGATTTGGTAGAGAAAATCCTGAAGAGGTTATGAGGCTGGGCAAAACGGTCTTTATTTACCCTGCAGATGATAGCATGTGATATTTCACAGTTGATATTAGGGAACTCGATGGTTTTGATTTTAGGTGCTATATTTGGGAAGTTTCCTTTTTAGCACTTTCTAAAGACTCGCTACATTCGCTCCATTCCCAGGTAGGTCTCTCGTCCCCCACCCCTGCTCCCTTTTAAGGTGTTAAATTTGGCAGATAACCTGGGTAGCATTTAGAAAACAATTATTTCCAAATGCTGGGAAAGAAACTTGCCAAGCGTAACAGCTGAAAACCAAAAAGAAAAAAGAAAAAAAGAGGAAGGAAATAAAATGGAAGAGGGAAAGACATTTTTTAAAAACGAAATTTAGAAGGGACCTTTCAGCAGCTTTATAAACAATTAACTCCAGCGCTGTGACTGAAGACCACCTCTGATTCAGCCTGGAACGTCCACAGATGCAATACAGCATCCTGCCTTCCAGCGAGCCTCAGGGACGCCAGCAAAACAGATAGGTGTCCAGATGTGCGGAACCTAACGTGCACATCTGCTGGAAGATATCCCACACCAACTGCAGTGCTGACACTGACCTAGACACAGACTCTGGGGGTTTGCAAACCCTCAGACCTCTCTGTGGGTACACAGTGTGCAGATAACAACACTCTACAACAGTACAAGAGGTAGGTCGCCCCCTCTGCATCCCCATAAGCATCCATGTCCATCTCAACAGATCTTTTTTTCCATTACCATCAAGCAGAAATGCATGGAGTGTTGAGACTTGTGGCTGAAGTAAACTTGTGGGAAAGAGGGCCGAAAAAGTTCAGTTTTATTGGAAACTTTCCTTTATATAAATACAGAACAAGGACTCCGGTGTCCTAGACAGGCATGTTTAAAACCCATGGCACTTACACTCGCCGTGATGTCTAGTTCAGCACCAAAGTAATCTCATACTTTTTAAGCCAGTAATATAAACTAAATATCTAGATTTTTTCACTATGTGAGTACTTTTAACTTTAAAATAAAGATTAAAATATCAATTTAAACCAAAAATGATAGTCTTTCCCTAATGTTTTAATTTCACTGGGAAGTTAAGTTTCTGATAAGGGAATATGAGGTCTCATCTACCTACACAGGAACCTTACTGGGTGCTGGACCAGACTAACAGAGGAGATTCAAGAGCATAAAGAAACAAGAAAGAAAGTAGGAGTGAAGCACTATCAAAACAAAAAATACATCACAGACAAATGCTATTAGTGACAGCCTAGACAAATATATTTACTACTTTTTGAATCCTGATTACATTTATAAAATTGCTACGACACTGTAAGCCTGTCTTGAAGGAAGCATTCAACAACAAAGTTTGTGCCACATTTCTCCCATTTACCATTAAATCTAACAAGAACACAAGGGCCACGATACTGGTTCAGACCAACAATCCTTCTAGCGCTGTCCCCAACAACAGCCATAACTGGACACAGAACAGCAACAACAGAACAAGCGTATGCCATTTCCCTGACATTTTCCCAATTTCCTGCCATTTGAGTTCAGAGGGTTTCCTGAGCCTGATGGAGTTCATCTGTCTAGCAACCCTCAGTACAGCTCTCTCAAATACTCGTCTATTCTCTTCCTGAACCCATGTAAACTTTTTTTTTTGTTCCTAGGAATTCTGAACATTCATTTTTGGGGGGAATTACTAAACACTGAATAAATTTTCTTGGAATTATCTTAGATGCCAAGATGTCATTTCTGAGAGGTGAGGGTCAGCTCAGTGCCCATCACTTTCCATGTACAGTTACAACTATTTTATTCAAGATTTAGCAGCTCACATTTACCTCTGCAGAATTTCATTTGTCATTTCTTTGTCTAGTGACCTTTCTCATAAGGTCCTTGTGCAGTTCTTCACAGTCCACTCTCCTTGATATTCACCTCAAGTGGAAGCAACCTAAAAAAATCATTGTGCCTCATTAGCGCAATTATTCAGACTCAGCTATTTGGAGAAAGTGGGGTGAGAATAACAGAAAATTCCCACCTGAAGAAATAAAGAAAGGCAAAAGATGTCGGCATGTTTTTAAGGGAACCTGCTGGTTTCTGATTTCAGCAAGCTCAGAAGAGCTTTCTGTTCTCCCAGCATTGGAAGAGATGGTCAAATACAAAGAAAACTCTCCTGAGGTGGAGAAAGAAACCTGACAATGTAATGTTCTTAAGTCCCAGAGTACTTGGGAAAAGTGATGGTATAAGACCGGAGACCTGAAAAAAATCAGGTAAATAATCTCCCATTACTTTTACAGGTTCTAAAACTAAAATATAACTGTTTCAAAAACTATCTTGATGAAGTCTTTGTGTTTCTGCATCCAATGGTCAGGAATGGTTTAAACTGCGAAAAGGAATGAGGACCTCGTGAGTATGTGCATCAAGTGTGAAACCTGGTGCCTGCAATGGCCAGATTTCTGACTGTAATCTCACTGGTACAGACACCCAACAGGATGCCTCTTTTGGGAAGCTCCATTAAAGGTTAAAGTGGGATACACACATACATATAAAAATTTGAAGCAATAATATTATTCTAAAAGCAGAGCTCTCTAAACATAGCAAAAGATCACATTTTTCATTGAATACTGAATACACATGGAAGTTATACTGCAGAACAATGTTAAAATTATACTGGCAACTTTTTAAATTACTTACAAAATTAATACGATGTTTAAACTACCTAGTGGAATCAACTTTATTGGTATCTGAAATGTGGTTGAAACTATTCAGAAAAGAAACACACTAACAATTTAGGACAGGAAATACAGAATATTTTTAAGGTAAAAACATAAGGGAATATTTTGCTTTTAAAAATTAATAAAATTACCATTTATAAGGTGAACTCTGACTCAAACAAGGATTAAACAGCTTCGCTCTTAGCATTCCATGGGATCTTTATCATCAAAAAGTTACAATTTCCCTCATTTTATTTATGTATCATTAACAAAGAACAAAACCAGAACGCAACAGCCTACTCCTTTGTTGTAATTTCTTTGAGCAATAAATCTGCTTTCTGCTTTTTATGTGTCAAGCACACTACAAAAGGTGAGAGGATCCACAGATTAATGGTATTAGACTAAATGTCAAGGTTAATAAAGAATATGAAATACATACAAGAAAAATGTTGAGCTACGAATCATAACATGCAACTGGAACATTTACCTACTTCAGGAAAGAAGTGTAAGATGCTTTACAAACAAAGCTTTCTTTCAACCCGTGTGGTTCTGTACAATGTTTCCAATGAGTAGTAATTACATATGTGCTTTAAGAAGTCTTTCTACACCTATTATAATTTCAGATTAAAGGGAGGGCATTACTTATTATTTTACATGAGCTTTTAAAGTAGTTTGTAAAATATATGCAGTCCATAAAAGTTTGTCGTCTAACAACAAACAACTGTACTGCTTCTGCAGAATTCAGCACAAACAAGTAAAAAATTTCTAGTTATAATTAATACAAGTCACATGTAAAAGTTTTAAGGTTTATACAGATCAATTAGAGTAATTTTCCTCTCAGTTAAAGGTTTAACTTTAATAATTTTTTTAACTTCTTTTCCTTTTTTAAATAAATCAGATACATTTGAGTCTGAAATTGTAACAACCTTCATTAAAGCCTAGGTTTCCCCGAAGCTGGCAAAAGCATTCAAGTAAGAAACAGTACTAGCAGTATTTTCAGCAGTGGAAGCCACAGCATCCCGGAGAGCAGAAAAACACACCCAAATAGGATGGGTTACAGAAAGCATGGTTGCAAGGGAGTCATCCTGGCTATGGAAAGCTAATGCTCAACAGGGAAAGGCACAGACCAAAGTCTTGGCATCCTCCAGTGCAGGCGACCCCAGTGCATGGTTAGGGTCAGTTGAAGCCCCATGCTCTGTGAGAACCACCAAATCGCCTCTGAACTCACCCTACCCTTGGGAGCAGTGTAGATGCCCTTCTGTGGCACAGAGCCATGTCTCCAGTGTCTCTGTGTGAGTGCCACTTTCAGATTTCACAACAGATTCACCACGAATAGAATGTGCACAGCAGTGACCGTCCTCACATCACCATCAGTAACGCTAAGGTTGCTGCTCTCTTCTTTAACTACCACACAATAAGAAAACATCTCTCAAGGTCAACCAAAATTTTCATTGGTAAATCCCAACATTTACATACCACAAGATGCATCTTATTTTCAATCTTTACAAGAGATCAATACCTACAAATACTTCTGCTTTTCATCATGCAGTAATGAATGAAATAGGTGTAAATTTAACTAGCAGGTGCAAGTAGTCTATTTTCTTCATTTGGACTCATCTATGAGAATGGAATCTCATCCATTCTCTGTTAAGTACAAATGATAGAGCAGGAATGGTCCTAAGACTGAGAAAACCAGAAGGCTGTATCACTGAAAATCTGTCAATGCAAGATCCAGTGGGATATTTAAAAGGCACCCTATCAGCTTAAGCACCTATATTTGTTTGTCTGTTTATACTGCAAGCACTCTTATGAATTACAGTAAACACCCAGCTGCACCTTTAGTCACCTAAATACCATGTGAAGCCTGATCCACGGTGACCAGAAATACCCTCAATTCACTAACTGAAAGTTAATTTTGAAGCAGAGGTGATACTGTATTTACATAACAATGAAGCCAGCTTTCCTTTACCCTTCTGTGCTACATCCTCAAGCTGCTGCCTCTCAGGGGGTAATTCCGGGGAAGGTGCTGCCCACTCCCTTTGGGGCCATCCCTGCTCTGAGTGGGTCAGGGGAGGAGGTACTGATTGGGACCTCTCTCTCTTCTCTACCCCGCAGTCACTCCTTATGAAACTAAATCTCCACCAATAAATTGTTGCCAAATTTTGACAATTGGAATTGGAATATTACATATTATAGGGGAAGAGAAGGAAATTGTTGTAAGAGCATTTATAGGACTCCCAGTTCCCTGGAAAATAATGCTAAAAACATTTTAAAATACTGGTTTGTTCAACTGTGTCATACCTTTTGCTTGACAGATTACATGCTTTTCCTCTGATTTCTTCCAGACTCTGTGTTCATGAAAATGAATTCAGTAACTTATAATTTTTAACATAATAAAACCTGAAAACTTAAGGATTTGGAACCTAGATAAATAGGTTCTGCTTACATAACTACACAAAGATACATTATGTGTTTTTTGTCAGCAAAAAACGCACAGAGTTAAGTCAAACAGCAGTATGTAGTTTCAGTTCTCCATGTCTCCAAATTATCTATCAAAGAGAATGAATTTTATATACATTTATGAAAAAACCAAAACACACAAGAGCACAGCACAGCTGAAGTTAAGTCATTAAATCGGTCTGTTCTCTAGCAAAAGCCACACTTCTTACAAATTTGTTTATCCTAATAGTCTTGTAATATTTTCACCATCACAGCTCAAAATAGAACTTTATTGTAATATATTACTGACTTTAGTAACATATTAAGTGTGAAAAATGTAACAGACAATGATTCTTATCCATAGAACATGATTTTTACAATTATTATTAAAAAGAATGTTTCATTTATCAAATAATGTTATAGCTATTATAAATATTATCATAATAAAGGAGAAAGTGAAGAATGAACTACATCAACATTCTGAACATAATGTTTCCATTTCCTCTGCCAACAGTATAACCTAAAAGATGAAGAAAATTTTATTCACACAACACAATGCTATCCCCGTCAATATTCAGATGATAAAGAGCTCAAGCTATTGAACTGAGAAATTAAAGTTCAGAAATTTCAGGAATTAGGCCGATTGCCTAAAGTGGCAGTAGGTGTGACTCACTTATGGAAACAGCATGAGAAGGACAGAGAAACAACTTCAAGTTGGAAAAGCTTTTAAAAGCATACGAAGTACCCGGCTGTGGCCTCCTTGATTTTAAGGACTTTACACACAATTTCCGCTCTTATAAATAAAAAGAGCTTTCTCCTAGCTCACTTCATTATAAGGGGAGCTGCAGACCCACCTCAGAGGGCAGGAGTTCACCTCTGTGATTTTTCCAGGCAGCCCAGCACAGTGGGGGCCCTGGGCAAACTGGGGCACTGGTGTCTGCACTGCCTACACACCTGGGGCTTGCCCGGGGTATGGGCAGCAGCTGCCCTCAGGCTCCCCCAGGAATCTGCCCCTGCAGGTGTCCCACCCAGGCAGCCACAGCTCACCATCACACCATCCAACCTGGGCAAATCTTACTTGGTCCAACCACTAAAGCCTTTTCTTTGGTAGCTTGACCCATATCACAGAATTCAATGGTAAGCTCATATTTTACTTCCTATGGCCATGCAGTAGGATTAGCATTAAAAGTGTCCAGACATTTGAGAAATCATTATCTTATGATGTTTGGTATATCAGATTAAACAGTCAAAGATAAAAAGAGGAAAAATGAGAGGAAGGAAAAAACCTCAAGCCCCTTAACTCAATTTAAACTCTTAATTTTGTATCACTCTCCCTCTCTCTAAATCTAGGGGGAAAGGTTATTTTGAGCAATAATATTTTTGGATTCTATTATTAAGTAATTGAATGAAAGAAACAAAGAAAATAACCTAAAATTCTCAAAATGCACAGGATGCAAGAGGCCCCAGTTTCCAGCTGACTTGTAGAAACTGTTCAAATGACCTCTGAAAAATTTACAGTTCTCCTGCCAGAGCCCATCCCTCACCTTGCCCATAGTGACAGATTTTGCAGCACACGGAGGACAGAGCCACAGAAAAAAGAGTGACTTGCTTCCTCCTTTTTCTTCCTGCACTTTTTATGATTCAGTTTACATGAGAAGATGCACCTAATGATGAAAATTAGGAATGAAACATCAGGCCTGGAATAAATAACACAGCCATCAGGAACCAGTGACTTGGTTTCTATTCATATGGGTTATAAA